CTCCATCATCGCCTTTGGAGCCATAACTCTGAGGCTAGGATACACTAGATCCTAGAATGCCCTTGCAGAATTATCTCCAAATGCATACAATAATAACTTGCTTAATAAGGAACATTTTATCAGCTCTCTTTCCTTTTCTGTCTTGTTTCCCCATTCTCTTACCAAAGTTCCTGATTTTAACTTTAAAATAAACCACTTGCACTTGAGTTTTATCTAGTCTGGCTTGGAAGGAACAAAAAATTCTTTCCTGAATAGCCTCGTACTTTGCTATGTCTGCAAAACAAGCACCAGAGAATGGTGGGAAAGCACGTTTTCTGCATCAGGATGACATAGGGTATAAATCTCCATCCTGCTACAAACTAATCTATGATACTGGGTAAATTTACAAAAGGGGTGAACTTGCCCTTTAGTACCATGTGATACCAATTTGTCTTTCCAAATCCCAGGTTCTTTGTTTTAGCTATTTTTCTTTCTCTAGAATGTTCTTCCTCACCATTTTTGCCTATGGAAACTTTTATTTCCCTCTAAGTCCACCTGAGCTATGAGATCATCTCTGATTATTGCAGAAAGGAATGAGACTTTTTGCTCTTCAGTTCCTGTAGTAATTCCTGTAAGATCTAATCATAAGCTGCCTACTTTACAAGAATTTATCTCCATTTTCTTTTCCTTACTCATTATAAACTGATAGTGAATACATGGTGAACCTTTTAAAGCTTTCAATAATGAATGCCGCACCCCCCATGGCACATGCACCATAGATTTGCCACCATTGAACTAGGGCAAGACATTTTGTTTACTGAGCATGTGGTAAAATTTTTCCTAGCCCTATGGTTGGTGGAGATGTGATGACTAGCTCACAAGTTGAGGGGAAAAAATCCAAGATCTGGTAGCACTGATTTTTATACCTCAGTAAGTGTGTTGTGTTTCTATTATAAACAATCTAACTTTTACAGTTTTTTTTAAAAAGGGTCTGACCTTTTCTTTCCCAGGATCTTGGTATCTAAGACAATGTAGAGTCAATTTCAGGGCAATTTCTGCCAATGAACTATTCCCTCTAACAGACAAAGCCCTCTCTGTGTTCTCCCCTCATTCTTCCTCATGGGACCCTCCTGAAAGGTGAATGTCCTGAATGCTTCATTCATGGCCTTGATGCCTCTTTAAGGAGGCTTCTCAGAGTAACAGGGGATATGCTGGGCTGCTGCTGCTGCCCTGGGGCCCTCTGGGAAGTTTCCATGGGACCATCCAGCCCCCTGCATCTGAGCACCTTTAAGCCATCTGCCCACTGCCGTGGTATAGAAAGGGGACAAAACACAACGAAGAACATACATCTTTTAACTTTCATTTTTCTTGTTAAGTATTTATTTGAGGGATGTTGGACCTGTACTTACTATTAGTTAAATAGTCTCCAAGGTACTAAAAACAGTAATAATTTTTTGTGTCCAGTCCATGGTAGCTCCTAGAGGCAACTGCAGACAGCAAATTTAACTCTTTTGATATTTGTCTTCAAACTTCTTATAGCATGCTCATATATATCTACTTCTTCGTTCTGCAAAATAGCAAAAGCTAACAAAATCAAGATTTCACCTTTTCCCCCAGCATTCCCTTCTTTCAAGCACACTTCTTATCTCCATATTTCTGCAATATACTTATATCATAATGTAGAATACATCAGTAGCTAGCGCTTTCATGATTATGACTATACACAAACATAGCAGGCAAGCACTCTACCACTGACCTACAATCTCAGCCCCCTCCCCTTACTTTTGCAGCAATGGGATTGAACCTAGGGATCATACCTGCTGAGTAAACACTCTGCCATTGAGCTACACCTGCAAATTTTTAAAATTTTATTTTGAGGCAAAGTCTTTCTAAGTTGTACAAGCTGGTCCCAAACTTGTGATACTCCTGCATGAATCTCCCAAGTAACTGGGATTACAGCCATGCACTGCTACACCTAGCAGCCACCATAAACCCATCTGATCTTTGCTCTAGAATGGGGCAGTGTACTACTGGACAGCAAACAAGCCTACCGTGGCTCAAAAAAAAAAGAAAAAGATTAAAAAAAAGAAAAAGAAAAAGAGGAAGAAGAAAGAAAGAGAAAGAAAAAGATATCCTAAAAAAGCACTCAGTGCCTATAGTTGAAAGACATGCAGGGGCCCGAGAAAGTCATCTCTCAAAATTTGTTTTTTTTTTTTTTTACTCTTTCACATTAAACACTTTTGCACCGAGCCTTGGCTATCTGCTAACACTGAAGTCCTGCCTTATGGCTGGAAGCTTGGTTACCAGGTTTTAAAAGCCAAGTGTAGGAAGGCAGGCTGTGGAGGGGAATATAGTAAAGTAAAAGATACCCACATGTAGGATTTAAGCTTTTGCCCTAACCCCTATTTTTCGATGTGGTTATTTTGCTTTCAAGCATGCCTAGGTTCTCTCAGATTACAGGCCCTTTATTTTATGTTCTAGAAATGTCACTGTTCAATATAGTAGCTACTAGCTATATGCAGGTTTTGAGCACTTGAAATGCTGCCTGTCCAAATTGGGAGGAGCTGTAAATGTAAAACAGTCAACAATTTCGAAGAGTTTGCACAAAAAATTAAAATATCTCAATAATAATTTCTACTGATTGTTGAAATGCAGTGGTTTGGATGCATTAGGCTAAAATATACTATTAAAGTTCTAGGTTTTTCTTTTTGCTTTTGAAAAATGCAGCTACTAGAGAATTCTGGGGTTGGTGAAGGGCGCTGTCAGTCCTCCTTTATGATACCTCATCACGTATCTGTTCTAACCAGAGGTAGTCATTTTTCAGGGCATGTTAGCTTTTTCCACAATTATCCAATAACTCTAACTTTCATCACAAAATTTTTCTGTTTGACCACCCCTAAGGAAATTTGTTTGCTTTTACTGACTTATATCACTCAAATAATCCAGGATAATCCTGCTATCTCAAAGTCTATAACCTGAATTAAACACACATGTCCATTTCCCAGATAAAATGACATATGCACATGTTCTAGGGATTAGGGCAACTCTGGGGGTGATTATTCTGCTTCTCACACCACGCGACTATTGCTTCTGACCTACAAATGATGAATCTGAGACAGAAGGAAAGTAAGCACTATATTTAAAAAAATCACATATCTAGATGTTCCAGCTGAGTTTTGAATCTATGCTATGACAACCAGAACCTGTGACACAGCAGGGCTTTGAGGACAGACAGGTAAGAACAAAACAGGAAGAGGAGGGGAAAAAGAGGTTAAAAGTGCCAGAGGCAGAAGTCACTTTTTGGCAGAGGCCATAAGTACAGGAGCAGCATTCCTGTTGAAGGCTTATCTCCAGTATTCTTAAAGACTTAGATAATAAGGACAGAAGACACATCCTTCTTTTGTTGTTGTTGAGTGACTCAAATCACGTAGGGCCCATTCGTGATGAAAAGGGTACAGGCTCCAGGAAAACCGATCAACGATGGCTCTGTTTGAAACTGATAAAACGTCCCGACCCCCATTGAGCTGGTAAAAGAGGAATATGTCATTTGTAGCTCTTCCAGGATCAATCAATCTGATGAAGTCTTTGTTTCCATGCTCAAAAAATGGAAGGAAGGATGTTCCAGATGTGGTAGAAAGAAAACCAAGCTGGGAATCTGGATGTGCAGGTTCTCAGGCTGCCACCGGTAGCATCTTGAGCAAAGACCTCTCTCATATACCTCTTGGAAGCCCATTTTTGCATTTGAAAATGAATATATGTTTAAACACTTAAAATTTTTTTATTATGGACATTTTCAAGCATACATCATAATGGAAGGAATACTTTGATAAACATATACTACCTATATTTAACAGTTGTTAACATTTTTTCTAAATTTGTCTTTAGACATAACGTATGAAAATACCAGACTGCACATCAAATATATTTAATTTTTGTCATGATATCCCAAAAAAGAGGAAAAAGTAAATTATAGGAGTGACTAAAAGTTAGAAACTAAAATGCTCCTTATATTTCCACTGTTACTAACTGGAGTCTGGATAGAATTCAGGGTCCAGGAACTTGGATGAACAAAAGTTCCTATGTGCATTTATTAAGCTTTAGCTATGATTTAGTGCATCTTTTAGGATGAATGTAGTATGGTAGTCAGCTTCTCTCTGCTCCCATGACCTCATCTCCTGATGCTCACAGCCCCATGCAATCTTCTTCTATACTGCCCCATGTTGGTCCTATGTGACCAAGAGAGCACAGATGGGATGTGTTCCTTCTGAGATTCGGTTATGACCCTGGTTTCTGTTTCAGATCCTTGTTTTCTTTTCTATCACCCACTAAAGGAAGCCAGCCATCGTGTCTTGACATGTGACAAACACCTTGGGCACCTGGCCGAGAGCCATGAGTGAGCTTGGAAGTCAGTCCTCAGCCTACAGATGACCGTAATGGCCAACAGTTTGACTGCAACTCCGCGGGAGATTTTCAGTAGACAAATCCTGTTAAGCCACTCCTGGGTCCACACCCCTCAGAAACTCAGTGTGATAGGGTTTGAAATGTTTAAGTGGCTAAACTGTGTTGTGCAGCAGTACACAAGACAGCACGCAGCCAATCCAGCAGCATTAGCTGTACCTGTGACTTTGTTACCAGTCAAGATCACAGATATTTTTATATCATATTACAGTTGTTGCAGAGAGAATGGACATATCTTTTACATGCATCACTACTTTGAAATTAGAGAACTTGTTTTCCAGACATTAATAAAGACTATCATTTTATTACAAAAAAGATGATTATATTTTAACATAATTTATAATTGCTTTATAATTATACACATCTACAGTATTTAAATGTTTTGCATTTAAAAACATTCTTCTGTGCAAATAAATTCAGCACAAACCAAGACAGCAAGATTTTGCAACTAAGGGGCCACTGACGCCCGCTGGATGAACTCAGAGGGCGGGGCCCAGCGAGGCGAGCTCAGCCTCTGCATTTAGCCTGGACTTTCTCAGAGCAACTCCTACCATGGGTTTGCATCAGGCATGGCCTTTACATCCACGGGCAGAGCTGCCCTTTCCACTGGCTGCCAAAGCCAAAGCGTGCACAGGCAGAGGAATGCAGGCAATGTGCTGACTGCTGATGAGAGTCAGCACAAAGCCACGCTGTGCTGAGCGGCAGGGCAGCGGGCTCCTTCCCCGTATGGCCACAGGAATGAGGCAAATGCGGAACTCAATCTGGCATTTCCTGGCCCAGAGCAGTGAAGACCACTGTCTCTCCTCTTGATGCTCAGGAATCTGGATTCCCAGTGTCTACAGGCAACAAGCCCAGGGGCAACCTCCCAGGCCGGTCCCCATTTCCATGATAAGAGTTTGTGACCAGGATATGAGAAGTTCCAGGTGAAAGCTAGAAAATGTTGTCGACCTGCTAGACTCACTCCCATTTTACAGATGTGGACATGGAGACCAAGAAAGGTAAAGTGTCTTCTCAGGGACACAAGGTTTTCTCCCCAAACAGTCAGGCTAATGCATCTGTATTCTGACAGACTGTCCCACGGGTGTTGCTTTTCTAAAGAGTGGCAGGTTGAAGGTATGAGTGAGTACACCCAGTCTGATTTTCTCCATCCTATCAAACCTTACTATGCTTTCAACTCAAAGAAATGAAAAACACAATGGCCTGGATGAACTTCTTCATTTTCATTTTCTTTTTGTCAAAACAGATGGTAATTTGCCTCCCTCTCTTCTTTCCTCCTTTCTTCACTCCAAAATCCAAAAATCATTCCCATTTTGGCAAGCTCCTATGTCACAGTAGTGAATTTTGTGTGCATTTGATAATCCTATGGTTATTACTACCTTAGCTTTGAAAATAACTGTACTCCAGCTGCCTATGACGTCCCTTTCCCTGGGGTGGTTATGAAGAGTTAAAAGTGATGAGGACATTCTGTGACCCTGGATGATCTGAAAGGTAGGAAGGAGGGAACCCCCATGCACTGAGGCCAGGGTTGAGTCCACAGGTATCTGAGGAAACCTGAGCTATTACCCTTAACCCTGTATTCCCACTGCCTATGGCAATGCCATCAGTAGGTGACCAACGAAGATCTGTGGGTTTGATGACTGACCGAGAAATACAATCGTCCTATAATCTGACCCCCCAGGGTGGCTACCATAGCTTCCCATCTTCTCAACCAGACCTGAGGTCCTATCTGATTCAAGCTGGAGCAAGTACCCCAACATGCCTTGTGGCTTCGGTAATAACACAAGAAGCCCAGGTAGGATTCTGTGTCATACATAGGCCTTGCTGATCTGTACCTCTCTTGTCAGCTAACAGGTACTGACTGGTTAACATCTGTGAAGAGCAGACAGCCAGATCCACAGCTGTGTCTTCGTGACCCCAAAGCTGAAGGTGCTGGTATTCTCCACCTCCATTATGAACAGTAGGAATGAGATCTTAGTTTTAACAAGGCACAGTTTTCAAAAACTGCCCCTGGCCTGAGATTTTGCAAACAAACATCTCACTTTAAAAGAATAGCTATATATCTATACATTTATATGTAATACATGTCTAATACTATACATTATCTATATATAAAGTACATATTTTAAACATCTAGACATATTTTCATCAAAATCAAACAGAAACTTGTTTCTATTTTAGCTTGTTTTCTTTTTGCACTCTCCAACCAAATACTTGGATGCATGCTAAGTCGATGAGCTCATGAATTGGATAGAGCATGTATTTTCGATTTCTATAAAATCCTTGGAAGGTTATGCCAGATACAGCGGGGTGGTTCTTTTTTCTTCCTGTAACATATTTGAGAGGGAAAGAAAAACAGGAGGCATATGCCACTAAGTAGTTTAAGGTGAAGTGATTTTAACCGTTCAGATCAACAAATATTGACAGCCTATTATATATCAGGCACTGAGCAGTGCTCTGGAAGGTGGAAAATGAACATGACAAATGGTCATTGATGATTCTATGCCTTCACATACTTATTATCCATTGTACATGTGTCAGATCAAGCACACATGTGAACTGTTTTGCATGCAGAAAGTGTTAGATGTAATAAAAAAAGAAAAACTCCAATGTACCCTGAAATAACGAAGAACAATTTTGGTGGAAAGTAAGGTGAGATGGAAGAAACAGTAGGTATCAGAATAAAGAGTTAAGAAGATGAGCGAGTAATGAAATGGCTGGTGGGGGCCAAGCAGAGAAATATTTTTCTCCAAATAGGAAGTATGGAACATGAATCTATCTCATTTTAAGCCATTCAGTCTCTCTCTCTCTCTCTCTCTCTCTCTCTCTCTCTCTCTCTCTCTCTTTCTCTGTCTCTCTCCCCTACTCCCTCCAGGCTGCAGAGATACAAGAGGCTATAGAATCAGTGCATACAGCTGAGGAGAGTGAAAGGGTGGTTACCGTTACCAAAGACTAGTTTTTACTCCGAGCAATGAAGCAAGGTTGAGGGACCCTCTGACCTCATTCTTTTTCATCTTGACATTGCTCTTTACTTTCCCTAAGTGGTATTTTATGTCCCTGCCGCCTTAATAACAATGATATTATGTCGAGATGAAATAAGGCAAGCAAATCCTCCTGAGTAGCGTGTTTTTGTCGTTCAACCAGGCACTTAAGTACACCCACAAATCAAACTCTGCTCCAAAGAATGGCATGTGGAAGGCACTGTCAAAGTCCTTGACCTCTAAAATCCCTTCTTCAAAATGATGCTGACACTCTAGAGCTTGCACTTTTTCTTGGCAATTTTTCTTCAATATTATCCTTCCTGAATTCTCTCTGACCATTATGTTATCTGTTTTGTTGCTGAGTATTATTTCCTCCCTCTCCTCTCATTAGTTTATTTTAGCTACTTACTCCTTCCTGACTATTGCTGTTTTACAAACTTCCCATGTATGTCCCCTCTGGCTCTTTTCCAGGCAGTTTCCTTTTTCTATTTTGTGCACTGCCTTATAAAAATGTATATGTGAGATATATATACTTTCATCCCCATTCCCATGGGTATGCTTCACAGGAAACATCTCACAAGGGCCCATTCATCAAGCCCACGCTGTAACCTGGCCCCAAAAAATCTTGTTTAAAGGTTGTCCTTCTGACAGCACAGTCTATTTAAAGCAGCTGGCACAGCATCCTGAGAAAGGAATACAACTCCCTCTCTTCCTCTTCTGCTTATTTGTCAAGTGAGGTAATATATGCAAAAAGGCTTTGAAAGGCATGTGCCGTGGTGGCTGTCTTTGCTGCTGACAGTTTGTTCGCTCATGCATCACTGAACAAGAATGTATGGAGCACTTTCTATGTGTTGCATATTAGAGATGTGAGCAAGATAGAATGACCCAGGATGCAAAAGAAAAAAGAGGGAGCAGGGAGGATTAGTTTCTAGCCTCCTAAATGCATACTACAGGCTAGAGCAGACTATTGGTGTCAAAATAATTATATGACTAGTTATAAAATTACCTCTGAGCCCAATCTGTGAAGTAAAGATTATCATACTATACAATATCAGGTGGGCACCTGCTACAGTCTTAAAGGGAGCCAAGGGTCACCCTGATGTATCTGAGCTGAAGGATGAGGTGGAGAGAACTATGCCAGGGTGGACGATAGAAGAGTACCTCCAAGAAAATCACTTGAGATGGCTCTCCCACTGAACCATGAGCTTCTGAAAGGCAAGGCCTACACTACACTTCAGTCTTCATTTGATCTAAAGTCTCTAGTTCATGCTTATCTTACAAGAAGCCTCCAAGAAATACAGGTTGAATGGATGATATCACTTAGGAAACCTGTGATGGGCTTGCACATATCACTGACGACATGCACAGATGTGCTTCTGGGCCTGGTCTTTCTCATGATGCGGCTCTGGCTCGGCAATTGGAATGTATGGAAGAGAATCACAAAATGTACGATCCAGTTAAATCATTGTCTCCTGCTAGAATTTAAGCAGATTCTTTGGGTAATATTTAGTGTTCTGGAATAATTGTTCTTATTTAGACTCCTTTGTTTTTTTCCAGGTTGGTGTCTACAGTGTGAAAGGATGGTGTCTAGTGTTTTACTAGAAAGAAAGGGTCTCAGTCCTGGGTGATGTCCTCCCAATCTTAGATGGCCTTGGCTATGGAGAACCTGACATGTAGTGGGTTGTTGATGAATTCTTTCTCAGTTTAATAAAGGGCCCGTGTGTACAGGCTAGACTTCTCTGAGTCTTTGTTATGTCTTTCCAGATTGTTCTTCCCCAGCCTTCACTATATAGTTATCTCACCACAGCCATGGTGGCCCCAAGGAAGACCCTCTAGCTCCCTTTGGTGTTCTTTGCACACAGGAGTCAGGGAGACCCAGGAGCATCATCTATATAACATGTCTGGCCTTACTGCCCTCTTGACAAAGCTGACCTCTCTGTGATGACACAGAGTCTGTTGCACAAAGGAGTGCTTGTACATTTCTAATAGGAAATGAAATTAAAGCTCGGAATTAAGTACCTGCATGTCTGACAGCTTCCCTCATCTAGCTTTCTCTTTCTTCACGCCATAGTCTCCTGGAACCAAAGGCATAAACTTTTCTTCTTATTTATCTGAGCCTCCTTCTTCCCAGGGAACAGGCTTCATGGACTAACCATCATGGCAGAAAGTCTATCTGATCCAATAAATTGTCTGCTGATATAGGGAAGTGTGCTCCAGGTGGAGCTTTTGGTGTGCGAAATGTGAGATTAAAGATTTGAAAATCCTTTTGTGCATTAACCTGGTTTTCAAACATTTTAATAAAACTCTTGAGTTTAATGTCAGATGCTAATCACTCTGAAAATGGTGATGAAATTCAAAGTAATCAAGTTCTTAGAAAAATGTATTGCAAGTCATGTAACCTGTTTCCTACATGCCTTTCAGATCAACTCCCTCCAAATAGTTAAATTGATATTTGGAACACAGATACTGTATAAACCAGGGTTTTACTAGAGAAACAGATATAACACAAGATACACAAATGTATAAGAAATTACAAGATTGGCTTACGATAGTCAGCCACAGAGTTGAATAAGGAAGTGTGCAGAAGGTGTATACACACTGGAGACCAAAGGTCTGGAGTTCACTGCAATTTTCCCTTCAAGTCCGTATCAGAAGGCCAAAGGGTCTGCGACAGAAGGCTGATGAGTCTACACCGGAAGGCTGAAGGATCCAAGGCAGAAGCCAAAGAGTCTGCACTAGAAGCCAGGAGACGATGTCCAAGCTGAAGGCGAAGACTGGAACTCCTCCAAAGAATAGAAGCCCCTCTGTCCTACCTCATTTCCCTTTTATATCATCTAGGTGATGATCCACCCAAGGGTAGTTTCTCTACACCATAGGATGCAGAATTGCTGAGCCAATTTAGTTAAGCTTCTAAACTTCTCAAGTTGACACAATCAAACAACCACTGCAGATACCATCAGTTAATAAGAAAGTTACACACCAGGAAATTAAAAAAAGAAAGAAAGAAAAAAACTTCTGTGAAAAATATACCTTATTCTGGGGCTGGGGATTTAGCTCAGTGGCACAGCACCTGCCTGGCAAGTGCAAGGTCATGAGTTCAATCCCCGGTGCCGGAAAAAAACAAAACAAAACAAAAAAGTATACCTTATTCCAACTCTATTTGGGACTTAAAATATCCTAAATTATTGACTTATAAAAACAAGATGAGTAGAGGGCCACTTACCGTTAAGGTCGTTATCAGTTGTGATGTTGGCATTAGTTTCTGTTGCTTAACAACTGTTTATCTCTCTTCAAGGATAAGGTATATAGTTTTCTTTAGAAAGAAACCCGTTGGTTCTCAATTCTTCTCAGGTTTTGACAAAGAATCTTCTAAAACTTAATGCCAAATATGACAAACAGGAATTAACTATTTGGATGCAATGGTCTCCCAAATCATTTAGAAGCTCAACAAACTAAAGACAAGCTGATAATCAAGTGTCTGATTTACTTTTCTCTTTCCACCAGAGATTAAACCCAACATAAGTACTCAGTTCAGCCAATCTAAAGTGGATAAACTAAAGAAAGACAGGCTAGAGCCTTAGGAATTTATTAGTATTATAATGCATTTTGACTTTCCAACAAAAAGCAGAGCTTTTTAAAAACAGGTTGACGTAGGTACTGTTGTGAAATATTCATAATAAATAACCTAATGAAATATTCATAATTATGATTTTTTTTTGCAGAAGAATCTTTCTTGGGGAGGTTAAATGGCTTAATCAAGGTCCACAGGCAGGAAGCAAATAGTAAATAGAATCAGAACTTGAGCCCAAGTCCCCTGACTCTTGGATCTATCTTCATATCAGTACAGACCATTAGTCTCCGTATCTAAATCTTATTCCCTCTGATTTCTATCACCTGGCGTTTTTTATTTTGTTTTCTTTTTTCAAGATTACTGTTGGCATGTTAATTGGTGAGAGCCTGAACAAAAATGGATGTTGATGCTCTCACAACTTCTATTACCCAGAAACTGGCTTATATTTCAATTATGCTATAAAATAATAGCACTCATATTCTATAAGCTTTAAACCATGTTTCTGATGATCAGTGTTTCAGCTTAATGGAAAAACACTGAATTGGAGTTTGTTTTGTTTTATTTTGCTTTGTTCTATAATGCTAGCTCAATGCTGAGCATTGCTGGGAGGCATTTGCCACAAACTTCAGTTGGGTCACCTGTCTCATTTGTGTGCAGAGAAGACACCTGCCAAAGTTTGTATTTCCAGGATCTTTGTGAGAAGACAGTGTGCAGAGCTTGATCTTCCCACCGAGCTCTATGGTCTGCCAAGGCAGGAATAATACAGGAGCAAGCAAATGTTACAGAAAGCACATTTATACATTAAATTTGTCTGGGTTATATTTCTTTTTCTCTATAGGAGTTTGTAACAGTACTTGCAAGTATAAATTATCCAAAACCCACAGACCAATGTTTAAAAAAGAATAAAAGAAATAAAATGAGGAGGAGAAGGAAGAAGAGGAGGAGAAAGAGGAGAAAGAGAAAGAAAGAGAAAGAAAGAGAGAGAGAGAAAGAGAAAGAGAGAAAGAAAGAGAGAGAAGAAGAGAGAGGAAGAGGAAGAGATATTTCTTTCTTTATACAATCTGAAACCTTTATAGGATGGAAGACTTCACACTGAGCCTGGCGTTTCCTGGTCATGTTTTTGCTGAGCTGGGGCAGGTCACAACATACTTCCACCCTTTTATTTTCTTCTTGTACTGTTTTCTTTAGACAAGCCATGCATTAGTCCCACTAGTGTGTGTGTGCTCTGAGCAATAACCCATCAATTTATTAATTTAAAGCATAACTTGTACCTTATATCTGTTTTCTGTGAAACCTAATTGAATTCTAGAACCAATAACATAAAGCCAACTAAATTCAACTGGTCACATGTGAAAGTGTAGTACTAAATTTGAGCTTTATCTGACCAGAGCCATCTCTGCCACATTCCTGCATCAGGTCTGAAATTCTTCCTCAAACTGAAATTTCTTAGCATTACTCCATGAGTATTGCTTCTTGAGGGCCTTTAGCAAAAAGTTTAAATATTTTCAGAAAAGCTCACTTACTTTTTGACACATTAGCAATGATAAACCTTAGCAATCACAATTCCCATTTGCTATAGCAGCTTGGCAGTTGTTGTCCCCAGCAGGCTAAGTACAGGGCAGTGGGTGGCAAGTCTCTGAAAAGAAAATGTAGATTGGTTCATTTGGAACACAGTTGTCAAACCAAGCATGTGAATAGGTTGCAACTATATTTCTGATTTCCATTTTGCAATCTGAGGACAACTGAGTAGCCATGATGATAGAATTCAACTTTCTAAACAGATGGGGACTCAAACTAATTGGTTTTGAGGAAGGAAGGTGGTCAGGATCATGAGTCACTAGTGATCTATTCCGTTATGGTTCTAGGATCCTTAGAGGAGAATAGGAAAAGCACTGCCACAGGGTGGTAGAGCAGTTTCAGTCTTTTCTAAAATTAACTGTATTTCCTGTCTCCGATCTTGTTTCTCATTATTAGTTTTCTGTGTTGAGAAACAAAGGCAAAATGCCCACAACCCACATACGTGCCACACCTCCATGACTTATGAGCACATTACCATAAAAATGAAGAAATTCTATCTTTCCTCTGGAAAGTGTTTAGTCACAGAACTTGCCTCTTACTGAGCAGAGAGAAAGAATCTTTATTCTCCAGCAACTCAGCACCTTTTGACTCAAAGAGGCTTCAGGAATTAAAATTTGATGAGCACAACAGATATTCCCCACTGCTGCCGCTGCTGGCACGTTCTGGACAGACTGGGGCTTCCTGGGGCCTGTCTTTCAGCAGCAGCACACATTTCAACAAGAGCTGGCAAGTATCAGCTGTTTGAGTATCTCTGCAAATCTAAAGAACCCTCAGTCACAAGTTGGAATTCATAAGGCACATTGGTATTATGTTTGCTTTCAAAGGAGATTATAGGATAAAAATTAAGTACATAGCTTTCCCAACTCCTGGCCATGAGAGCCTGGCCACAATAGCCTTTAGGAGGCAAGTGTGGAGAAATGAAGATATTATCTCACAGAATGGAATCTTCAAGAAAAAATATATACATGGTGTAGTAGATTGACAACTGGTGGTCAACTTATAACACCAGCTGAACTGAGTGAGTGTGGTGCTGGGTGTGGGAGGCCCACCTGAGGGCTGCTGCCAGCAGCATAAGAGGCAGACCTGTAGAAGAAGCAGGCTGTTGGGAGCTGGCAGAAGCTGTGGGGAGCTGGCTTTCCTGATGAACTTGGCTATTTTTATCCTCCGAGGAGCTCGGGAACTCACTGGCACTGAGAAAGGCTTCGGTTCATTTTGGGGGAGCTCTGGTCCTCACTTTGAGCATCACTTCCTGGTTCCGGAGGGGAAGATGGTGCACTGCCAGCCTCCTGGAAAAGCTTGCTGCGTTGGCTTCCCTGATGGGAACTAGGCCATCCTGATCATCGGAGGAGCTCAGGACCTCACTGTTGCCAAGGATGGCTGTGGTACCTTTTGGGGGAGCTCTGGTTCTTCAGAGTATCACTTCCTGGCTCCAGTGCAGATCCCTCATCACTAGTGACTAGCACAGGTCCTTCTTCCTGCTGGCACAGACTTTGTAGATTTCACCACTGACCTTTGGGCCTTCCCAGTAGATCCGTGAAACTGGCCTGC